TCACAATAATAAGAATAAACTTTTTTGGAATCGCTGACTTTCAATAACTCGGCTGACTGTGTTTACAATAATAGTCCAGTAATTCCAAAGTGCACATTTTTTTGCACGTGATAGTATTTTGAGAGGAGATAAGGAAAAAAAAAATATTTTGCACAGGAGCGGATCGGGAAAATTCAGGAAATGGCATGAAAACTGCAAAAAAACGTTCGTGAATAACTTGAAAAGTATTGAGAATTTCACAAACCTTTTTTTTCTTATTTTTTCAATTTTTTATTATTGTTTATTATATTTCTTCTTATTCTTTTAAACTTTTTGTTTTTTCTCTTTATTACCATTATTATTATGATCTTTAAAGGAACTTTTATTGGACTTGGACGTTAAATTTGGTGCTTTATTGATGTTAACAAAAAATACAGCATTCAAAATTTTCAATTTGACTTTGATTTGACCAAGAATATCAATTTGGTTATTAAAAGTACTACTGATATTCCTTGCAACATTTTTCTCTACAATTAAAAATTCGTTGTTATTGAGAAAAAACAAGCCTTTAAATCGAAATTTTGGTCAACTTGCCTGAATTTTGGATGAGTTAGTTTGAGGAATGTTATAACAATAAGTGACAGTAATTTTTGTTCAACCCCCGGCCAAGGGTGAAAAAAGATAAAACAAAGGGGTTTTTTAATATAATTCAAAACGGGTAAGGGCTAGAAAAAAAAGTATAAAAGTTGTAAAGCATACGATTCTACATAATAATGGCCTCTTGACTTTTTCTTGTATTATTAAAATTAACAGAGTTAGGGAGGCTAGAAATTAAGGGAAGATTTCAGAAATTTAAAAAAATCATAAGCTGAAAAATGATTGAATTTTGTAATTTTTTTTTCGATCTACTCTAAAACGTTTTTGAAATTTTGAAAAAACTGTTTTGGGGGGGCAAACTTTGAGGGTGTATTTCACCCCGTAAATATGTTCTTCAGCCGATAAAAAAAAATACGTGTCTTTTTACATTTTTAAGAGTAGATTGAAAAAAAATTACAGAATTCATTTACGTTTCTGCTTGTTACGATATTTTTAAAATTTCTGAAATCTTCCCTTAACTTCTAGCCTCCCTAACTCTGTTAATTTTAATAGTACAAGAAAAAGTCAAGATGCCATTTTTATGTAGAATTGAATGCTTTACAACTTTTATAAGGAACTTTTTTTCTAGCCCTTGCCCCTTTTGCCCATTACTGTCACTTGCTGTTATAATATACCTCAAACTAACTCATATCAAAAGGGCAAGGGCAAGTTGACCAAAATTTCAATTTAAAGGCTTATTTAATTGGACTATGACCTTTAAGGATATTCAAGAAAAATTTTTTTAATCCATATCATGGCCGTAGCGAGAATTTTTGCTTGGGATGGGGCCAAGGCTGCTTGCTCTATGGAGCAGCAACTTGCCGAATAAAATTTCAAAAACCTGAACACGTTTTGATTTCGTTCTAAAAAAGGTCACGTAGTCAGCGACTTATGCGATATACAACTATTAGATATTTTGAAATTTCTAAGTTGACCTTCATTTCACATTAAAAATTGGAGTCAAGGTTAAAGACAGGGTCACCGTTAAATTAGCATTTTGAAGTCCTACAACTTTTTTCTTAAACTTTTTTTGATAGGATTTCGTCCTGAAGAGTTATCGGGGGTTCGGGTCTTTTTTTGGGACACCCGATATATTTTAAGCGTGTAATAAACGCATATAGTTAGTGTGTTATATTTTTTGTTGAAAAAAAATCCGTTTTAGAAATGGAGGAAACAATTTACCTTCATATATCTGCATAAAAAACAACTACATTTTTTTCAACGTGTGCATTCATGTTCTATTGTCTGAGACTACTCTTGAAGAAAACACAATAAACTTACCTTGGAGGAGTTGGAACTTGCCTGTGGGAAGGTTGTCTGTTGCATGTAAATTGCAATTATATCGTTTATGCATTAATCAGACCGGTTACCTACACGAGTATATTGGGAAAGAGTGGGTTGAGCATGATTCAAATATTTAAAGGTGCAGAGAGCGTTACATCAACATAAGCGCACATTCAAACTCGGACTATACCGACTACTATACGTCTTAAACGTATTTGCTCCGCACTTTTAGAGTTAAGGAAAAAAACAAACGTCTTAATTAAATCGTCTTTGACATATCAACAACTTGGATTGTTTAGTATACTTTTTGTGCCGGTAACTTTCAGAATTGATGAAACTGCGAAAAATAATTTGACTTTATTTAATAAAGTGTATCCCAGAAAAGTCGCATTTTCAGATTATAAGGTGCCAAATTTGATTTTTTTAATATTTATTATTTAAATATCCCAGGAACGAATTGGGGAATCACCGTCAAATTTCGAGAACTCTTTTCTTTGTAAGATTTATGGTTAGGCAAAACTATTTTCATAAAAAAAAACCGTTGACTGATCAACTTGACGCAAGGGCTTGTTTAATTATTTTTTTAATTATTTCATTTATTCATTTAAATCCCAAATGAATAAAGAAAACGAAAATTTTGCCATGAGCTTTAAATTGCTTCAATTTCTGACAAAAAACATAGGAAAGTTTTTTGTCAACTTTTATGTATATTATTAGACCAAGCAAATTAAATTTTTACTCGAAAAAAGTCCTATCCGCGAGTTTATTGTAAAATTGTCTAAAGGAACATAATACAAGACATCTTTCATCTCGTGAATCAAAAACTTTTCTTAGCTAACTTTTCTATTTAAACAAATAAGTGAGGAAACCAGTTTTTTCACTTTGCTGGGAAAACCATCAAATTTAGCGAAAAGTGATTCACAGACAGCTTGTAGGGAGTAAAATTATCTACAAAATGAGACTAGTTAAATTAAAATCGGTTAATAAACAAAAAAGTTATTGCAAAAAACAAGAAAAGTGCCCATTTTTTAATTTGTTTATAACTATCGCATTTATTGTTAAAATTTTATAAAACCTATGACAAGTTGAGGGTTTTGTCATACTTTAAAAGTGTGCCAAAAGTGGGCGCTGTAGGTGCAATAGTTTTCGCACA